TCAAATTCAGATTCAAACTCATCTGGCTATGATTTGGTGCGGACTTTGCGAATGGCTGGATACGGGATGTTAATAATAGGCCCTTCGTTGCATTACTGGTTCAATTTCGTATCTCGTGTTTTCCCGAAACGCGATCTCTTCTCCACTTTCACGAAAATGGTGTTAGGGCAGATGGTATATGGCCCTACTGTAACTGCATTGTTCTTCTCTCTCAATGCTGCTTTACAAGGTATGTTTAGAAAACACGAGATGCGATCTCATAAACTTCGTTCGTAGCTTATTGAACGAAAATATATGTTCAAACTTGGCTACTAAGTATGTTGAAGAAACTGCTTTTAATTAACAAATCCAATTTAGTAGCTTGATTTGATTTTCAGCCGTATTCTGAGTAAATAGTATATATATATATATATATATATATGTATGTATGTGTGTGTGTGTGTGTGTGTGTGTGCGCGCGCGAGCGCGTTTCTTGGGTTGTTTTCATGAATCATGAGTTTATTGCACATTTAGTACTCGTGTGTTATATGGAATTGCTAAAAAAAATCCACGTGTTATAAATATCAGGAGTTTTTAGGGGTATTTTTGTCCAAAAAATGCATCATAGGAGGTTTTTACTAATATTTATAATAGGAGGTTTTTTTAGAAATTAAGCTAAACACAGGGGTATTGAATGCAATAATAAACCCTTGTTTTCATGTTCAATTTAAGGAATTGGAATATAATTGCAATATTTGCTGTTTAGCTGAACATTACTAATGTTTGAACATTGCCTTTTCATTTTGAGGAACTGAGTTTAATCAGTTATTTATTTATTTTTTCATTTTTTTTTTGCAGTTTTCTTATTTTCATCCGAGATATAACTTGAGCTTATAATTCTCAGGTGAAAGTGGTTCCGAAATTATTGGTCGATTGAAACGTGATTTAGTACCTACACTGAAAAGTGGCGTTATGTACTGGCCGATATGCGATTTTGTGACGTTCAGATTCGTCCCCGTACATTTACAGGTGAGATAAATCGTATATTGCTTTCTCCATAAATGAAATTTTCGTAAATATTTTACGCATACAGAATTAGAAGAATGATTTTAATTTTTTTATAATGTGGTTTTGATTTTGTTTTTTGGGCAGCCTTTGGTGAGCAACTCATTTTCATACCTATGGACGGTTTATCTAACTTACATGGCAAGCTTATCGAAAGTTAGTACGAGTTGAGATCGTTTTAGCGACCACTAAACACACGCCACCTGGCATGGCACCTTCATTTTATCCCGTTAAGAGTGGGGATTCGTTTTATTCACAAGAATTACATGATGTAACTAGCTTTATTTCTTTTCTTCCTTTTATTCCAATTATTGAAGTAATGACAAATTACATGGTGAAAAATTAACTGATCCGATTTCCGCCAATTCCAATACAAAATTTACTTAATTAAATCTTATTTGAACTTAGTGATGCGTTCATACTTTCAAAGGTACGACGATCCAACGATAACAGATAACAGTAAAATATCAAGAGATTTCGACCTCAAAAAAATGAACATATATTTCAAAGATAGGAAAGCAGAGCCACATTCATTTTATTTGTTCTCTTGAAATACAACTACAAAAATAATAAACAATCTAGAAAGTATCTATCCACCCTCGAAATCGGAATACAACTACAAAAATAGTAAACAATCTAGAAAGTATATATCCACCCTCGGAAAAAAAGTAAAAGTCTATTGCACATAGTTGTAATAATAGACTATATGAGATGTTAAAACTACATCAAATGTGTAAAAAGAATTGCATGTGTAGTATATCAGTATATGTATGTGTTCCCTTTCTACCAACTAAAGTACCCGTTGACTCGTTTCTGCAGCCGATACTTCCGAAGAATAATACTACGCCAAAAATGGCTCAGTTTCATCCTATAAGTTACTCCCACATTCTCTAGTTTAATATAGGGTTTATTGCATTCAGACACCCCTCTTGATTTCTCTAATTGCTACAAAACTCCCAATGTTATTTTATCGGCAAAAACTCCCCTTTAATTCAAGTTTTTTAAGCAAACTACTCCCTAAAAACTCACTCTTTAGGAGATTGTATACTTAAAAAAAAATGAATTATAAAGGGTTTTTTTTGCTAATATTTATAAGACGAGGAGGATTTATATAATAAAGGGGTACTGGATGCAATAAACTCACTTGTTTTAATGTAAGTCATAAATTGCAGATCTTTTCGAGTTGAACCGACCGGTCTTCCCCAAGTATAGAAGGTTTCGACTCCACGGCAACACGAAAATCCACCATACTCGCGTAATTATTAACAAACTGTAATAAATTAGATTGCCTCCCAACACTGACATTTCTTGATCCGGCAATACCAATACAACGCTCGATTATCCTCTTCATATACGAATCCAAACCACGGTTCAAACAATCGGCACCCTCCGAGGAAATCCCAATGCCTTCCGATTCCAAGTTCTTCTCCAAAACGCCCCTCAATGTTTCCGTTTCGGGCAATTCACCCCTATGTCTACAACTCCCGTAAAAAGAAACAGATTTACGAGGCTTGTTAAGAACCCCGAAAGGGGCTTCAATAGAACTCCATCTAATCACATTCGAGACTCCATTAACCTCTTCTTCGCCTTCTTCATCGATTCTTGAAAACGTTTCTTCAACCGTTAATGTGCTAGGGCTTTTTCCAAACGGGCCAAGTGGGCTGGGGCGATCTCGTAGTTTCCTACTCAGAGGAGATTGCATGCAGTTCTTCTTGTAACTGTTCGGGAACTTAACTCCGATTTTTCGAGGGTTTTGAGGTGGGGTTTTGGCATGAGAAGCATTTTGAACAATGGATCGGATAAGTCGATTGTGGAGAGAGATGTTTTCCCGACCGATCGTTTCGATGCAGCATTTGTCGAAATCGCACTTGCTTAGTTTCAAATTCAAGAATCTGTTTAGGTTATTGAAGTACTTGTCGGCTCTTTGATGTCCGATTCTGTTGTAGATAACATCTCTGAGCTCTAATGTGTCGACACGCGTAAAATGCTCGTTGAACTTGGCTCCCATTCTTTCCTGTTTAAGCTCCGCTACACAATCAAATACCAGATCCAATTAGTACTTACTTAAATGCGTAAATATATCGTTTTTTTATTGATCAATCATCTATTCTACGAGTGGATCGGTGTTCAATTGAAGTCTGCAACAAGTCTTTCTGTCCTATTAACAAGAAAAACAAAAATAAAGATTTAATTTTTACTGTTTAGGAAGTTATACTAAGATTCAACTTTCAAAATCAAATAGTAAATAGACGACCCATCGAAAAATCAACTTCAGAAAATCAAAAAAAAAAAAAAAATCGGATAATTTTTTTTTTTTTTACAGTAATTGATCAATCAAACAAAAACCCATTCAGACATTGGGATGAAACAAAGAAACAACAAAAACCCAGAAACGAAAATGTAATAATCTAGAGAGAGAAAGCTCCACAGATACTCAGATAAACTCAATTCACGATTCGACGACGAACACACACAAATAAAAAAAAAAAAAATAATAATAAATAAATAAAAACAAAAATCCAGTAATGAATGAATAGTGAGATGGGATTTAAAGAAGGAAAGACGGGAATTCACCTGGGTTTTCGAAGAATAGGGTTTTCGAGCAGCGTGGATTTTGACTTGTTTGATCGGTGTGCTTAATTTTGTTTGTGAGTTGAATTTTGACTCTGAAGAAAAATCTAAATTTAAGTGTGAGCCTGCTCTAAATTATCCTTTTTTGGTTAGTTATTAGTTCACAAGTACGCTTTTCTTTCTCGTACTGAGGTTTGTTATACTTTTCTTTTATTTATTTTTGGAAGTCGTACTGAGGTTTGTTCTAGTTCGGGTAAGGCCGTGTTTGGATGACAAACTACTTATTAGTGACGACCATGTAATTAAGCACTACTCAAAGAGATATATTTTGACATAAAAAAAAAAAAAAATTAAGTAGTCAACTTTAGTTTAAACTATGAATAAGTTAAATAGGATGAGCTTCATAGTTTCAGTGGCGGATACATCATAAGGCCGTGGGGTTTCAACTTCGTTTGTTATTTCTCGAATATTTTTACTATTTTATATAGAAATTAATTTATTTTTTAGCGCAGTAATGTTTGCCCCTCCTTTAACTTTTAATGTTAATCTAGTGATCGCAACAATAATATTATAAATAGACGGAAATTATACTTTTTTTTCTGGTGAATTCTACGAGTGAGCTCCTATTAATCTAAATATAGGAATTCTAAGATCATTTCACTCAATTTGGTCCTCTTTTAAGAAGAGTTTTGTTACTAACGCGAACATCGATTTTCGGGAAATATCGTAATCATCTAGTAAAATGGCTAGTTACAACATATGGTCATTGGGTTACAATTGCGTTATTTCTCAATATTTGTAGTGTTTTATATGGATAATTATTCAGTTTCGAGTACTATACTATTGTCGGTCCCCATAATTTTTATTGTAAATCTAGTGCTCGCGACGACAATATTTTAGGGAGACGAATATTATAAACTTTCTCGTGAATACTCCGAGTTTGAGCTCCTATTATCCTAAATATAGAAATTCTAAAAGTGATTTAACTTTTTTTTTTTTTATCAACTAAAAGTGATTAACTCAAGTTGGTAACTTTTTATATAAGAAGGTTTTTGGTACTAACACGAACTTCGGTTTTCGGGAAATATCATAATCATCTAATAAAAAGGGTTTCCATTTGAAGTCCTATCGATTCTAACAATTGATTGTTACTTCCGTATGGAAGATTGAGACGTTAGAACTACTCACGATTCTCGAATATATTTATTTTTCGTAAATTGTATAACGGGTTGTTTCTAATATTTATAATAATACATAATACAATTCGGAATTTTCTTAAGTGGTTTGGATTTCGGAACCCCACTTGCAACAGGGTCGGGTGAGCGATTATGGGTTCGAACCCTTTCGAGTAATTACCAAAATACCAAAACAATCAGCAAAGGTTATATTCATATGCAACTTTGTCCACCATACATAATTAAAAAAAAACGTAAAAATTCATAGAACAGGTTGAATCAGTCCACTGATCGAAACGGAGGCGGTTGACCAAATTTTAATATATACGCAGTTTCATAAGCAGGGCGCAGAGGCACAATCGCTTGAACATCGAGATAAGCATCACACGAGAAACACCACACTGAAAGATCACTGTTTCGAGTAAACAAAAAATAATCAGAACAAAAAAAAAAAAAAGAAAAAAAAAAAAAGAACGTAAAGGAAAATCGAGAAACAATGTTATAATTCATTACCTGAAGCTAAGAGCCAAGTTATGTTGTTGGTGTTGATAATGCTGTAGCATGTGCTTGTTCACAAAACGGCTGCACAGAACTTCTTTACAGCACAAGCACAACCAATTCTCCTTTGGATGTTCACACCTTCGTTGCGTTAACCACAGTAAATTTGTAAATCAAACCAAGAAAAATGCGAAAAACTCACGAAATTGAATAAAAATCAAGAAAACTTTTCAAACTCAAGGGTCGAAATGAACAGATAGCACGAAACACCAGTTGTTTAGAAAATGTTCGTCTTAACTTACATTCGAAAACACTGCGGAAACTACATCGGAAAATATTAAAAAGAGACGGATTGAAAAAAGGTCGAAACTTGAAACGAAGATTTTGATAGTGATCTCGATTCCCCATATTTACATGTGCATACCCCACTGGATTTAGATCAACAACTATAACTTGAGCTAACCAATTTCTCTATTCTCTAATCTTCTATTAATTGTACAAATTCCATAATTAAAAATTAAAAAAATCCAATATTAATTAAAATTGCTCATTCACATAGCAAACAAAATGTGATCTTTGAAGTGATTTTTTGCCTTTACCGCTGAATATTAATTCACACCATTTACTAATCTACCAAATTGTTAACAAGTAAACTGAAATGTGAAAATCCCTCAAAAAGACAAAAAAAAAAAAGAAGAGATTTAGGGTTTAGGGTTTCGTCAAAATCACTGATCGACCACACTATAATTCAATAATTCTAATTTTATTTATTTTTAAATAAAACCAACATCGATGAATGCCATTCTTGTGAACGAAGAGTAGTCATAAGAAGGAGTACCTGCTGCAAGATGTGTTGGGTGTTGGGATGTGAATCAGATCGGGCGACAATGAATCCAAATGGTCGCAGTGTGTTCGGGCCTCGACCCAGCCCGATTCGGATCCGTCTAATAACAATTCATCGTCTTCGCGGTTGATCTTCTGCATAGAGGACGATGAAGAAGAAGAAGCGTTTTTCGCCATTGATGGACTCTGGTTCAGTGAAATTTCAATTAATTCACATTTCACATTACATTATATAGATTAAAAGACACTTATACCCTTACACTAAAATCTTAATTACCATTTCCGTCTCAGAATTATATATATAGGGAAAATTACACTTTTCACCCCTTAAGTTTGCATCAATTTTACATTTGGCCCTCTTGTTCAGAAAAATGACATTTTGTTTCAATAATTTTACATTTTTTGTCATTTCCGTCATTTTACCATTAACTCGCAGTGATTGGCACAACACGCTTAAGGGATGAAAATTTTATTTTTCCCCGTGTCCGTGCTACATAGTATAACTCATGACTTGCATTAATTTCTTCTAAGTTGTGGTGTACATTAATTTTAGGGCAATTACAGTAATTTGGGTAATTACAGTAGCCTCCTCAATTATGTATTGTGTTACGAAAAAATCCCTCCAGATGTAAATTTAGGGATGTTAAATTGCTAAAACCGAAACGAGATTTCGGTACGCCAACATTTTGAATATAAGATTTGGTTCGGTAAATATCTGAATTACATAAAGTTTATGTAAAAGTATTTAAAAGAAGGAGTAGCTGTAATTATCCAAACATGAGAGATTTTTTTTATAATTTAACTATACCTCATAATTGGGCTGAAAATTGTATTCCTTACTGGAGACCGCCCAATTTCATTTCCCAAAATCTGCAATTTCCAGCTCATATAATATAACGAACATGAGTGACGTGTCATTTGCATAACTTTCTCTCTCTCTTTCTCAAAATCCTAGAAACCGCCGCCCACTCCAACCGGAACGCCGCCGCCCACTTCTCCTTCTCCTAATTTCAATGGCGGCTAGTGAAATTCCGGCAACCGCGGTATTAAATCAGCCATCAAAGTGGAACCCTTGCCTGCAATCAACGGGATTTCGACGGCTGCTAACGTGGCCGAAGAGATGCATCGGATGATTCAGATCCACATT